GGTAGTGAGGTGGAGGGAGAGAACATGGGAGCAGGTGATGGAAGAAAGGGAGGAATAAAGAAGGGTGTTCAGTTTGCTGGCAGGAAGCTTCAGTTAATGGAGGTGCCGTTCACCGAGAAGGAGGTCCCAAGAAGAAGGATCACAAGGGTTGCAGGCGTGGGGATGAGATGCTGTCCATTGTGGTCACGTTATGTTCATTGTACCCACGGGACATTCAAGAGATGAAACATATAGTGAGCAAATGAAGACTTGATATACAATTCTGAAGCTGGACTAAAATAGAGAATTATGAGTCACAAGCATATTGCTAGGAATTTAATCCTTGGAACTGAGTGAGGCTGCCCAGCGAAACTTGTAAAGTGGGAAAAGAGTAGGGTTTAGACCATAACCCATCATGGCTGTGTAAGAGATAAGCAAATGCGGAGGAGCCCATAAAGCAAGCGGGGAAAGTTGGACTCAAGTTGCAAGAGGAAATGTAAGATAATCTTTATCTTCTCTACTGAGATGTCATAAATTACATGTTCTAGAACAGTGGTTTTTCAAACATTAAATGTGTAACAAAATCATCTGGGGTGCTTGCTGAAAATTTGGTCTCCTGGACTCACCCCCAGAGATTCCTACACAGCAAGTACAGAGTGGTAGCCATTTCTAACAGGTGATTCTGGAAATATACCTTGAGAAACACCTTTCTAGGAGACAGCAGGAAATGATTGAATAAGCAAGGCTTCGGAATCAGACTTATTTCAGGGTCCTGGCTTTTACCATTTACTGGTGTGTGGCTGTGAGCAAGTTGGTTATTTTCAGGTTTGTTTTTCCGTCAGTGCTGGGATATAATAAATACTTTCTCTCTCTTCAAATTATTACAAGGCATATAGGAGATATGCTGCATTCAATTCCTGGGATATAGAAGGAGCTCAGTAACTGTGAGTTGCCTCTCTTGGCCCTTAAGATGCCCAGAACACAGCTGTGAACCTAAAAGCCAGTGAAAAAGTAGAAGGAAATAGCTATCATCAACCTTGTGCATTTTGTTTTCTAAGAGATCAGCGCCAACTGCTTTTTACCTTGAACCTATTGAATTAGAATTGTATAAAATTAAGTTACTGATTTAATAGATTTTGTTACCTAGTTTCTCCTGGCAGCCTTCAGTTCTATGGACATTAAATTTGAACAGCATGATATAGGCAAGGTTAACATGTGAAATAGAAGCCGAGGGAAATTTAATAGAGGGACGAACACCTCAAAAATCCTGAAGGCACCAGTGTGTTATAATATAAAAACTAATACTCAAATTAATACTACTAAATCATCAATAATATGTTAAATTATATTTAAAAGAATTATTTGAGACAGGAAGTATATATTTTAGAAAGATTTCCATTATATTACAAACATTTTAGAATTTTGGCACTTAATAAACTTCTGCTATTTGGCAAGTTCACTTAGATAAGATATTTTATTAGTCTTTTATAGTTCTGGGAAATTAGCTTATATGACCTTGTCTCTCATTGATTGGCATTTTACTATTTAAAAAAAAAATCTGTCTCAAGTCAACAAGTATCCTTGAAACCATCCCAGAAGGCACTGTGGAGCTAGCCTATCCATAAATTATTATGGATTGCCATGTAACGCTAAGGTTTTCTCCTTTTTCTTTGTCTAGAAGAGACGCTTATGTGAAGGGAGAAGAGCAGAGTCTTGTTAAGAGCCACATTCTGACCATTTCATGTCTTGAGTTTCCTATCTCACATTGGCTAATTGGAAATACAGCTACTTTAATGGTTATGGATTTGCAAAAGCTGTTGAGAAAGAGCTATGAATTTCCTTTCATTCTCTTCAAACTTTCTGGCACTATATTCCTACCTCCACCCTTGGGTGTTTATATGATTATTCATCCTTGAATACTCAACAGTCAGCTAAATAGGTCTAGGTTTTAGTTGCTCTTTATTATTTTTATTTGGTTGAACAGCAACACTTTTTGTTTTGTAGACCTCTGTCTTTCTTTGGTGGAATGAGTTTTTCTTCTGTTGTATCTTTGATTATTGTATTGGCACTGTTTTATTTGTTATTCTTCTTCCAGAACACCCATTTTTTTCTTTGATATTTTTGTTAGTCTTCCATATATATACATCATACTTCGTTTTGTCACTCTTCCCCTTAATCTTTTTTTCTACCTACTGAGGGAGGTTTTTTTTAAAAGTACGTATATATCTGATCTGATTTTTCAACAGTGTTCAAAATTTTGAACTTTCTATCACATTAATATATCATTTGTTTTGCTGCTATATTTCCCATTTCCTTGTACATTGAAAAATAATGTATTTTTCCATTATTTTAGCACTTTCATTCCAATTCTACTTGTCTCAGCCATTTCTCTTTTTATTTTATATTACATTGTTTCATCTTTTAACCTCTTTGAGAATCTTTTCTTTTTTTTTACTTTATGAAAGATGCAAAACAATTGTCCAATATTTTTTTCTGTTTCTCGTAGTCTTCTGCTTTCTACGTCTTGAGTGCTATGTTATGTGTTTGTATTATGGAATATTTTTAGGACATTTATGTTCTTTCATTTGCTTTTCCTCTTTTGCTTATCCTTGGACAAGGATATACTATCCTTGTCTCTGTAACCTGGGATGCTTACCTCTAGATTGGATCAGTAGCTTCTTTCTGGTTCATCTGACTAGAGGCTGCTCACATCCTCCTCTTAGACTGTAACAAAAGACCTAATACATGGCCCCATAGCATGTATCTGGGGATTTTATCTAAAGTGGATCTGCTAGTTTAAAGAGAGAATCACTTAATTTGGCTGCCTGGTTGTTTTATTCCTAAATAATGTAGCACAGGAAGGCATCCTGCTCCCTGCAGCTCTTCCAAACTCAGCCTTTGTAGTGCTAATTTTACATCTCCAGATGTAAACTCAATACTTATGAGTTTCCCATCCCCACTCGTTACATTGCCAAGAATTTTAGACCCAGATTAGAGGTAGAAAGCCTGGGCTTTAGGTCGTATGAGCCATGTGAGTGGAGCAGTTGAGCCCCTGTGCAGCCAGATAGCCAGTTTCCTCCATCTGGTCCTGGAAAATCCTGTTTTTCTAGGGGAGTTTAAGGAAATCTCTCAAAATTGTCCTGTATGGCTTTGATATTTTGCTTTCGACTACTTCCGTATCTTAACAGTGAAATTAAATTCTTTTGCAGTCTAGTGGATCATTGACTAACGTTTCTGGAGCACTTAAATTTGGAGAGAGAGAGAGAGAGAGAGAGAGAGAGAGAGAGAGAGAGAGACAGACAGAGAGAGACAGACAGAGAGAGAGAGGAGAGAGAGATTTTGAGATTCAATGAGAAGGTGGGAAAGGTCTGGTAAGGTGGTACTAGGCTAGCTTTTGTTTCACCATCCCTATTATGCACCCTTACTTGTTTTAAGTGCTCAGTATAAATTTGTTGAATGAGTAAATGAATGACTTACTCTTACTGGGGAATTTAGAAGAACCAACTGGGCTTTACCATTTATTATTTTAATACTTTTCCCCCAATATTATTTTTCTAGTTGGGTATTTTGCAAAATATGCCCCAGGAGTACCAGTTCCATAAAATGTTCTGTGAAAAAGGGTTCTATGGACAGATAATTTTGAGTAATGCCACATTACTGTATCTTTCTCATAGAAGCTCAGTCAATATGTAAATGTATTAAAACCCTCAAGAAGGGCTGCACTAACAAAGCCTGTTTAACTTTATTTAATTCGGCATTTCCCAAACTTATTTGAAATTAATAGAAACCTATTAATATCCCATAAAACACACTCTAGGAAAAACGTTGGCCTAATTTTTATAGTTTTTCTGAACCTCATAGAGTTCACTGTAGACTTTTCCCACAAAGCAAACTCCCAATTTTTGAATTCAAATCGTCTAGTCAATCATCCAAAGAGATGTAAGTTATGACTAAATACGATTAGAGTATCCAGATGTAAGTCAGAAATTGCTAACTCAGATTTTTTTCTCATTTGATGTTTTGAACAAGATGTGATCTTGGTGACCTTTTAAAAATGTATGTTACTTCAGGCATTAAATTAGTACATTTAAGAAAAGGAAATAAATATTATTTGGTGCATTGAGGTGAGAGAGCCCTTCAACCTCCCTGATATGGAAGCATTTCTATATTTCCCTCAAGCTCAGAAATGACAGTTGTCCTTATGATTTTAATATATGTGTTAATCTAGGAAATAAACCTATAGCTGTGCAGCTTTTTCTATCAAAATGGTATAACTGGGTGAAGTAGGAAAGCTAATTTTATTTTCAGTTTCAGAGTATCAAATTCTTTGTTCTAGTCCTACTTTGTCTTTAAAATAATATCTGAGTCCTTGTTTCTTTTGACACTTCATCACATGGGGTTCAGATGTGCTTTACTAGTTTAATTGCTCACTGACTGGTTAAGAAACCGACTTTTTTTGGTTTTGTTTTGGTAACTAATTCTTTTGTATTTGCCTTACCACTTCTCTCCATCCAAATATTTTATTTTCCCCTCACATCTTTGAATAATTAATTTTGTTTTGTTCTGCTTTGCTTTTTAAATTTAGAGCTCAATTCATACCAATTTAGGC